ATTAACTCCGTATGAGTCACTTCTTGTTACCGAGATTGCGGCACATGTTTTGCACTGACCAAGTTCATCACATTGCTCTGGGCAAAGGCCCTGCGTAGGAACGGAGCACTCATTGTATCCTGCATTATCCTGCCAGACACAGATTGAATAGGTAGGCCGAGCGGGTCAATTCAAGGCAACGACCTTCCCAAAGGGTCCAAGTATCAGTATGGGATAGACTTAGACCCCCCAACTACCCTATAAGTATATACCATAATGATACTTGGACCCTTTGGGCTTCACATCTTCCGGCTACAGGCGTTTACGACCGCCTCTACGCCGACGCAATGGCCAAGGAGAAGATGCGCGAGGCCTCCCCGGCTCGCGGTGAGCTGCTCGTCTTTTGCAGGAAGCCTCCAAGTTAATTTTATATATATATATATATATAAATAAATATAAATATAAATATATATATATATATATAAATATATATATAGTTTTAAAAGCCGGGCCGAGTTTTTGCTCAGCTGAAACCCGCACAAAACGCACGGAAGAGAAAGAGAGAGAAAGAGATGAAACCTCTCCATTCTGAAGTGTGCAGCACCATGGATGCGCCTGTAGAGGACTCGAGGATACAAGGATATTGGGACTTCTTTCAAAGCTCCTTCCAGACGTTGAGCCTTGTAACGTTAAGCATACCTTACTTCATTGGGCTCCACGTGAACCCGTCAAGCGCCTCACTCCTGTTTACAAGTTGACCCAACTTGAAACCCAGAGCCTAAATCCCATCCCAGGAACAGCTTTCAGCCACAACTGGACCGAAGAGGGAGCCGACTGTATTCGCACGTCCGCGCACACTACACAAAGCCGGTCTGGCCCTCAACATGAGCCCGATGGGGAATTGACCAATTTGGCTTTGGCTTTCGGCATGTTCACAACCTCTCCTTTCTGCACAGTGTTCGGCCGTGTACCTGGTGTCTGAGATAGAACTTATGGCTTTGAGACTGTTGATTGCAGTGGAAAGCTGCTCTGGCGATCAGATGTGATGGATGCTTTCTTCCTGGGGACGCTGGAATTTACTCGTTTGTGGTGGTGAGGCTTGATCACCACACCTGACCTGCAGCTAGGTGCTGTTTGGAAATAATAGAAGTTCCGATGCTTGAGCGCTTATCCATCCGTAGTTCCGATTACGGTGCTTCCTGGATTCCTGCTTTCGTTTTCGACTCCCGGGCCTGTTTTCCTTGACTACGTTGCCTTTCTATGTTTGCGTTTCTACCCTTACCCGCGGTTCGGTATGCAGAGTCTCCTGGATCTCTAGATACTAGATTCTAGATTGAAGAAGAGACCGTAACCCCATTCCATTTGTCACCTACGTCCATAGGTATCCCTTGTCCCCTGCGTTGTGGATCCTGCCCTCAGGCCGACATCATGGCATCTCAGCTGACAGCGAAGCAGAAGGTTTCCACATGTTCGCATACACTGAACTCTCTGCACCGCACCTGCCTTCGGGAAGCTCGGGTGGCGAATGCCTCCCTTTGGCAAGCAGTGTTGCTTAAATCTTATAGTATAGGGGCCTAAATAATTTGCCTATACTAGTTTGGGGGTTCCTTATTATAATTGTAGTATTACGGGCCCCAAAACCCTATTCTAATCATAACGGCCCCGAAGTTATGTCTTATTACTGCCGTTCGCATCAGCTTCGAGCCATGCCAGTCTCGTATTTTGGTCTCGAGCTGGACGTAGCAAAGGCGTCTGAAGTGGAAAAGCGGATGTGGTGTTATATTAAGATACCACGATGTCGAACTGTTCGAAACCACCTTCTGGGGAAGCCGACAAGATGCTATGCTTCGCGCTGGTGCACACTCAACGTGCAATTACTCAAGTTGGAAAGGTGTACGGTGTACCAAAATCCTTTGGCTTATGCATTCGGAAACGAGGTCAAGGCTGTAGAGGTTGCACTGGCGCACTGGCCATCCAGAAGTCCCTGTTAGCTCGGTGGCTTTGGGCAGTGATGGGGTGCATACTGCAAAATCAAACAGAGCCCTTTTTCAAGGGGGTTCGGGCGTAGATTGAAGGAAGTGGACATGGGCCACCGTGGTATTGCCCAACTCGCACATTTGTTTGGCTCGCTAACTAAGGCCAGCATCCAGCAACAGCAGGACGGGTGGAGGGACAGATTCGTCTCTCTTCCCACTGTTTTATTTGTTGTGGGTGGACGGGGTGCATGAGGAGCGCTTGTACCAAGTACTATGCGTGCTGAAGCAACTACTTAAAGCCTAGTTGCTGCGAGGCTAGGCTTGTTGCAAGGATGCCAAAAAGCCCAAGATGTTCCTTAACCAGAATTTAATTGTTACCCTAAACCCCTAAACCCTACATCCTAAACCCCTAAACCCCCAAAAGTCGAAACCCGAAATCCCTAAACCCTACATCCCAAACCCCCAAAACCCGAAATCCCTAAACCCTACCAGATTCCCTGCAATGCGGGCTTCGTCCTTACTAGGTAGGAGGGAAAAAACCCCCAAAACCCTAAGCCCGAAACCCCGGAACCCGAAACTCCTCGGCTTCCTGGGTAAGTAGACCCCAGGACCGAAGGGCAGAGCTCCTGCTGCGGCGGCATGCGGAGAAGGAGAACCTTAAACCCTAATAACCCTATGACGGGTTTAGGTTTTAGGTTAGGTGTTCGGCCTCAGTCCGTGCTGAAAAAAGGTAGGTTGTCGGGTTAGGGGTTTAAGTTTAGGGTTGAGGGTTTAGGCCATAGGGGAGTGTCCGACAATAGGGGGATCCTTGTACAGTGCGGAGTACGATCCTTATGATAAGGTCCCAAAATGAGTGAGGTACCTATCTACATACGCCCCTAAGCCCTAAAACCTTAAAGCCTGCACCCCTGAGCGCCAAGAACTAAAAAGGAGCATGCGGAGTTTGCCGACTGCACCTTTCGAGCCTGGGCGGCAGAAGAAGCAGGGAGTTAGTCGTTTACATGACTCTGCAGGGTCCTTGGTAGCAAAAATCATGTTCCTTGTTCTATACTGCATGTTTTCAAGGGCTCTATGTCGGCCGCATCTTTAAGTCATCCCAGCCCCTCCTCATTCCTCATGTGTCCAGTTGCCTCGCAGCGCAAGCGAGTGGCTGTACTTCTGCAAGTCCCCCTCCCCCCCTCCCCCTCCCCCCTCCCCCCCCTCCCCCCCCCGGCCTGTGCTTTGCCAGCAGACCGGGTGACCGAGACACCAACGCACGATCTAAACAGATGCAGTCTTTTGATTAACTATGTGAAGACCTGCAGTGGTGCCGGAGCTTTGTAATAAGCCCCGACGTCTGCACGTACTCCCGACGTCCATTGCAAGACTTGGGCCAACAAGGTGCTCTTTAAGATTTGCAAATATATTACTTGGATCCCAAGTGGAGAGCTTGAAAGCTTTTTTTCTAGATGCCCCCTGGTGGCTCAAGTTCCAACATGTTTGCATGAGAAGCAGCTCCCCAAGAAAGTCATGTAAGAATAAAAACTAAGGCCCAAGTAAGACAAGCCCCCCCTCAAAGCCCCCGAGCTGCCCGATGGTTTCGGAAGGTGCGCCCCCGCAAGTTTGCTAAAGGGGTTGGTTTTGGGTAAGTTAGGGTATTTTAATTCTGCCAGGTCAGACATGGTCCGTGATCTTTGTCGCCATTCCCATCCAGGCATCGTCAGGAGCTGAGTAAGACACCCTAACCTTAAGCCCTAAAGCCCTAAACCCCTAAACCCCTAAACCCTAAACCCCTCGTTTGCGTCGTTTTGCAGCTCGGTGAGCCATGGCCCCAACTTGCTGGGTGAGCCATGGCCCGAGCCTGCCGAGTGAGCCATTGGCCCCAGCTTTGCTGGGCGTGCCATTGGCCTCGGTTCCTGGCGTGCCATTGGCCCCAGCTCAGCCCAGGGTCTTTGATTGACTCGGGTGTGCCATTGGCCCCAGCAGTGCTGGGCGAGCCATTGGCCCCGGTCCGCCGGGTGAGCCATTGGCCCCAGCAGTGCTGGGTGAGCCATTGCCCCGGTCCGCAGGGTGCGCCATTGGCCCCAGTTCTGCTGGGTGAGCCGATGGCCCCGTGCTGCCGTGCCGTTGGCCCCAGCTTTGCTGGGCGAGCCATTGGCGCTGGTCGGGTGTGCCATTGGCCCCAGCTGTGCTGGGTGAGCCATTGTCCCCCATGCTGCGGGTGTGCCTTTTGGCCCCAGCTTTGCTGGGTGAGCCATTGGCCCCGCTGTTGGGTGTGCCATCGGCCCCAGCTTTGCTGGGTGAGCCGATGGCCCCAACAAGTGCTCGGGTGTGCCACTGGCCCCAGCTTTGCTGGTGGGCGTGCCATCGGCCCCAGCTTTGCTGGGTGGCCCCAACCAGTGCTCGGGTGTGCCACTGGCCCCAGCTTTGCTGGGTGAGCCCTTGGCCCCGTGCTGTCAGCCATTGGCCCCAGCTTTGCTGGGTGAGCCATTGGCCCCGGTCATTGGCCCCAGCAGTGCTGGGTGAGCCCTTGGCCCCGGGTTTGCTGGGTGTGGCCACTGGCCCCATCGGGTGTGCCATTGGCCCCAGCTGTTCTGGGCACTGTCGGGTGAGCCATTGGCCCAGCTTTGCTGGTGAGCCATTGGCCCCGCCTTAACCCTAAGCCCAACCCCAAACCCTAACCCCTAGACCCTGAAACACTAAAACCCTAAAGTGGTAGTCAGACTCATTCTCGCCTAATTTAATTAACTAATTAATTAATTTCGCGAAGGTCAGACAACATCGCTGGTCTCCTCGACGATGTGATGGCGCCGTGGAGGTGGAGGCTGGAGTTTGCACGCACCTTTCGGCCTGTGCTAGACTTGCTTGCAAGCTCCTTTGATCGTCTTGATGCTGCAGGCAGTTCGGACCATCAGCTAGTCAGTGTAAGACATCGGCGATGATTAGATTTCAGATTATGATTACAGTTACATGATGATGATCATTGATTCAGGAGTTTCATGACTCGTCTGACTGCGTGTGGGTTTGAGTGAGTCCTCTAGCTGTGTGTCAGACACATTTTTGGCCATGGTGCGCCAGCGCAAGCCCGAGCTCAAAGGGCTGCCGCACTTCAACACCAAGCGTCAGACTACGACGCCACTCCCGTCGGTGCCAGAGGAGGGCGCTCGTAAGACGACAGAATCGCCGACGGGCGCTGAGCCGAAGGACGACCCCATGGTTGGCATTGGTCAGACGGTTGGCATTGGTCAGACGAAGACGACGTCAAGGTCGCCGTCGAGGTCAAGGAGCCCCAGTCAGACGAATTACACTCCGACTGAGCCGGCTATGACGCCAACCTCGCCGGTGTCGTCACCGTTCGAGGAAAACCCCAGAGAGCGTCTGACAGCGATCGAGCCACGTCTGACGTTCAAGGCCGCGGCAAAGTCAGAGAGCGTGGCATCGGGATCGAAGGCAGCGGCGTCAGATCCAAGGGCCAGGGGCATTGATGCGGACCTGGTGTCAGACTCACCAATGCCAACCCCGGCAAAGGCCAAGCCGAAGACCCCCAGTGGGCCGTCAGACCACAAGGTCCAGGCCCCGGGTGCGAATAAGAAGAACCAGAACAGACGGTGGAAGGTCAAGCCGACCACTGCTGTCAGACGATGGTCAGCAGAACCATGGACATGGAGGCAGGGAGCAGCCCTCGTGACACTCTTTGTTATTTCGCTTTGGCGGGCACAAGACGAGGACGTTGTGGAGAATCCTTGTCTCAAGGTTTTGGATCAAACAACTTCTCAGTAGCTGCCGCAGGTCAGGTGTCAAGTATACTGCGCGCTGTCATTTTAATCAATGAAGCATGTCGCATTGACTTCGCCAGACAGACGAATCCTGAATCTCAGCGTGGCAACTAGTTAGCCGTCGTGGACTTTCTGATTCTGTGCTGTGGGAGTCTGTGACTGCCAGCTATGGTCAGAAGCAAGGTGGTCAAGCTTCCAACCCATTAGGTTGGTTGTGGCACACCTCGTCGAAGAACTAATCCCTTCCCCCTAACCTTACACCCCCCTAGTGTAAAAACTCCCGGGCCCCAGAATTTCGCGATTTCGGGCCCACAATTGAAAGTTAATTAAACACATGAGTGGGGGCTAGGATTGTATGAATTTTAATGGACCCCAAGATTACAGCTGTACTAAAGAGACCAGAGCTTTAGGGTTTACGGGTTTAGGGCTCAAGGCTAAAGCTTTAAAGGCTTGTCGCTTTTTAGGAGTGCCAAGCGCAGCCGACTGTCTTTCTGTACAGCTGGAAAATATGTGAAGCGCGCGTAGGCGCAGTAGTCAAGCGATCGCCGAAGAGCTGGTTTTTCTGTATCATTTGTTTGAAACCCAAGAAATCCCTCCTATGGTCCTTAAACTCGGCGGAGTGGTCTAGGTAGTGGTTCAGGTACTCTTTCGCGTGGGCTGGTACTAGTTCGGACCAATATCTGGAGGGGTGACCTCTGTGACGTGATTTGGTAAACTTAATGCGATCTTTGTATCCCGGAGAGAATACCACGTGGTGCATTGGGGGGTTTGGCGGAGTGGTCGTGGCTTGTATCAGGAGTTTGAACTGTCGGGATAGAAGTGTTTGCGAGTGAAGGGGGGGGTTGCCTGCAGCAGCCCATACAGATTTGTTGGAGATTCTGGAGTAGTATGATGCCTTTATGTTGATAGCTCGTCTGAGGTATCTGAAGTACCACCCGTCTATGGTTCTGAAGTGGTGTTTTTCCAGGGTGAGGGTTTCGAGGGCGTAGGTGTAAACCGGGACGATGCAGGCGTGGAAGATTCTAGATCTCACTGCACGGGGTATTCTACTTTTCCATACATGTTGTAGCTTAAGGAAGGCGGCGTGGGCTTTGGATCTGGCCGTGATGGCAGTTTTGGTAGGCTTATCCCAGGTAACTTGGGGACCAAGGTACTTAGTTTCAGTGTTATGGGGTACCTGAAAATTGTCTGCGTAGTGGAGATGTCCTGGTTGGGTAGGGTGGCGGAGTAGCTGGGTTTTCTCTAAGTTAAGTTGTAGTCCATACAGCGTGGCCTCTACCTGTACGTGTTTTAGAATCTCTTCTAGCTGAGAACTCGTGACGCCCATTAGAAGTGTATCATCAGCGTATTCTTTGTCGTAAACTGGCTTACCTATGGACCAGGTGTTTGAGGAACGCCATGTGTTCTGAGCCTAGCGTCTACATCAGATAAAAGTATTGCCATCACCATGATGAATAAGTAGGTGGGCGTCCCTGGCGAATTCCTGTATGCGGAGTAGCCCAGTACCTTGTGCCATCGGGGGCGGAAGTACAGAAGGTAGGGCATGTGTACATATCCCTAATGACTTCGAGATATACAGGGTGAACCCCCCGGCGGAGTAGTGCGATATGCATGGATTCGTGATCGATCTTGTCGAATGCTTGTTTCCAGTCTAAGAACAATAACTGAAAGCTTGTCGCTTTAGGGCTCAAAGTTTAGGGCTCAGGGCTTTAGGGTTTGGGGCTCGAGGTTTAGGGCTTAGGGCCTAACTCCCATTCATACGTGGATGCACCGAAACCCCCTCTAATATTAAAACAAAATCCCGGAAATCAGTTTTTATGTTAGGGAGGGGGGGGACGGGCGTTTAATATTAGGGGGAAGGGATTACCCAGCCAAGCCGCCAAAGTGAGACTCCAGGAAGCGATCAGTGTCAGAAAAACAAGACGCCAATCAAGCCATGCAGCAACCACGAGACTGCAGAAGACGAGTCAGACGGTGTAAGCGCTCACATGAACGTCGATGCTCTTGTTGGCGGAAAGAGTGTCAGATAGCCTGTGACACGGAGTCAGACTGGCACAGGGAGTCAGAGTCAGACTGGCAGCAAATCCCCATCCGTGAAGACGAAGCAGTAGCCGGGAACGAAGAGTCACAGAAACAGTTTGGATGATCGCATTATCCGTCAGAAACGTTTCCTCATGTCAGTGACGGCCATAAGCAGAGTCGTCAGAGAACTGTTGCACACGATGAAGCCGGAAGATTGGCGAATCGCTCCCGCTGCTATCAAACAACTGCACGAGGCGTCAGAGCTTTACATCGACTCCGTGTTTGTCACAGCGGCAGCATTCCAGAGGAAGTGTGCCTTGCAAGCGAAGTAAAAGTCAGACACGCTTCGTAGATTTCACATGGAGCTCGCCCTGATGTGAGTGAAAGGCTGACGCTGAGTCTGACCATCAGTGCTCCAATTTCAATTTTGTCAGACCTTCCGGTCCACGGTCTTCTTCAAGAAATGTTGCGGGAGGCATGCTGGCAGAAGCAAGTCGGCAAGAGTATAAATGCACAGATTTTGGATGGTCAGACCGTTATCGTGTGCGATGAAAATGATTGCGTGGGACACAAGTTGGGCCTTCTGATTCCGAAAGGCCAACTAGCGTCCTCAGCACGCTGCGGACACTAGTTGGGCCTCTTAAACCCCCTCCCAGACCATTGCGACCCTGGACACACTTTGCCATGTTGGGACATTTGGCCCTGCGGAGGCCCAACTAGCGTCCTCAGCACGCTGCGGACACAAGTTGGGGCGCCTGACGCCGGAGGCCTAACTAGCGTCCCGTCGTTTGGTGTTGCATCTTAATCTGACAATGACATGCTTTTGGGAACTTGTGCTTTTGTCACAGGTGCCTACAGGAACATATGGCGGACTTGGGTCGGACAACCAGGACTGGCTTTGCAGTCTTTAGCTTGCGTGTAGGACCATTTACGGTTCACGAACTCACGGGGCATTGAGTTTGCTGCTGCAGCTGTCAGATTGACGATCAAGCCATCCCGTTTGTCAGGCCCAGACCCCATGGCTCGTACGAAGCCGAGGGCAGCTGAGCCGAAGAAGGCAGCACAGGCCAAGGCAGCCTAGGCGAAGCCGGCTGCCCGTGAGACACCTGAGCAGCCGGAACCTCGTCAGACACCGTCTCAGAAAGCGGCGGTGACGGTGTCAAGCATGAACAACCCGCCAGTGCACAATCACAGGCGTGTGGCGTTAGAGACATCCTGGCACCTCTTCTGGATTATGACCCTAAACCCTAAACCTTAAAAATACTAAACCCCAAACCACGACACCACTCTCATTAGTTTGTTGGGCAAACGGACAGCCCCACAGACACTAACTGGTCAAACCAGAGTCTTTGGGGCTGTCCGTTTGCACAAAAGAAACCAAAACTCTCCACGCAGCAAACCCTAACCCCCAAAAACACCAAACGGAGAGCTCCAGAGACACTGGTTTGCCCACCCAGTGTCTCTGGCACTGTCCGTTTGACCAAAAATGCAGGCCAGCACTACAGAAATGCAAACGGACAGTGCCAGAGACACTGGTTGGATGAACTAGTGTCTCTGGCACTGTCCGTTTGCACAAAAGAAACCAAAACTCTCCACCCAGCAAACCCTAAACCCCAAAAACACCAAATGGACAGCTCCAGAGACACTGGTTTGCCCACCCAGTGTCTCTGGCACTGTCCGTTTGCCAAAAATGCAGACCAGCGCCCCAGAAATGCAAACGGACAGTGCCAGAGACACTGGTTGGGAGAACTAGTGTCTCTGGCACCGTCCGCTTGCACAAAAGAAACCAAAAATCTCCACCCAGCAAACCCTAAACCCCAAAAACACCAAACGGAGAGCTCCAGAGACACTGGTTTGCCCACCCAGTGTCTCTGGCACTGTCCGTTTGCCAAAAATGCAGACCAGCACCACAGAAATGCAAACGGACAGTGCCAGAGACACTGGTTGGGTGAACTGGTGTCTCTGGCACTGTCCGTTTGCACAAAAGAAACCAAAACTCTCCACCCAGCAAACCCTAAACCCCAAAAACACCAAACGGACAGCTCCAGAGACACTGGTTTGCCCACCCAGTGTCTCTGGCACTGTCCGTTTGCCAAAAATGCAGACCAGCACCACAGAAATGCAAACGGACAGTGCCAGAGACACTGGTTGGGTGAACTAGTGTCTCTGGCACTGTCCGTTTGCACAAAAGAAACCCAAACTCTCCACCCAGCAAACCCTAAACCCCAAAAGCACCAAACGGACAGCTCCAGAGACACTGGTTGGGTGAACTAGTGTCTCTGGCACTGTCCGTTTGCACCAAAGAACCGAAACCTCTCCACCCAGCAAATCCTAAACCCCAAAAACACCAAACGGACAGCTCCAGAGACACTGGTTTGCCCACCCAGTGTCTCTGGCACTGTCCGTTTGACCAAAAATGCAGACCAGCACCACAGAAATGCAAACGGACAGTGCCAGAGACACTGGTTGGGTGAACTAGTGTCTCTGGCACTGTCCGTTTGCACAAGAGAAACCAAAACTCTCCACCCAGCAAGCCCTAAACCCCAAAAACACCAAACGGACAGCTCCAGAGACACTGGTTTGCCCACCCAGTGTCTCGTTTGCCAAAAATGCAGACCAGCACCACAGAAATGCAAACGGACAGTGCCAGAGACACTGGTTGGGTGAACTAGTGTCTCTGGCGCTGTCCGTTTGCACAAAAGAAACCAAAACTCTCCACCCAGCAAACCCTAAACCCCAAAAACACCAAACGGACAGCTCCAGAGACACTGGTTTGCCCACCCAGTGTCTCTGGCACTGTCCGTTTGACCAAAAATGCGGACCAGCACCACACAAATGCAAACGGACAGTGCCAGAGACACTGTTTGGGTGAACTAGTGTCTCTGGCACTGTCCGTTTGCGCAAAAGAAGCCAAAACTCTCCACCCAGCAAGCCCTAAACCCCAAAAACACCAAACGGACAGCTCCAGAGACACTGGTTTGC